TCGTTTTAACGGTTGTTATTTAAGAAGATAACCTTATCCCTATGTTTTGGTAGTTTGTTGTTACTCTTATCTATATGGTTTAGTAGTTTGTTTGTTATATATTTAAAAAGATAACACAATCTCTATAGTGTAATCGAAACTAACGAGTGTAATCTTGGACCAAAAAAATGAAATTCCTCGATCACATGGTTTTCATTGTGGCTCGACAGGTTTTTTTAGGGAAGATTGTAAATTATGGTTACTCAACGACCTCGTTGGAGTTGAAATTCTCACACTGCGACTGTCGGTACCCAATTCTAGAACACTGCACCAACTTATATTCCCGTAATCAGTTGAGCTATACCATGCGAATATCAATATATATAGATATACATGTATGCATTTGTGATAGATGTATAGTGTAAAGTATTTGATATATTTTTTCAAGTGTAGTATCTACAAAATCTGTATGACATTCTCTCTTCTCTTATGTAAATAGACGAATATGACCCTATGTCCCTAAACACCACAACAAATATCAGACATAGTCAATATAATATAATACCTTCTCAAGCTCAAGCTCAAAATCACCATCATTATATTTTTTATTTCTCCCTCTTCTTTTATAAGAATTATGTAAAATTTAAAAATATAAATATTATGGATATCCAAACTTTAATCAATAACAATAGCTTGTTAAAAAAAACATATACTTACACTTTAGAATACTTCTAATCAATATAAGATGTGAAACTCGTTTCGTGCTGTAAAATTGATTACAGAAAAAAAACACGTTAAAAATATTAATTTACTCATATTCGATTCATATTTCATTGATTAACTCATTCAAACTCCTCGACTACTACACTGCTTAAACAATCATGCCACTACTAGAAAATCAGCTTTTAATGACGCATTTTAATGACAGCTTTTAAAATTAGTCGTAATAAGTACTTTATTGAGACGCTTTTGTGTAGAAGCGCTTCACTAGGTTCGTATAGCTATTTTTCCGTTTTTATTTTATTTTTAGAAATGCATTTTGTGGCGGTTTTTAGGCAAGCATCATAACATATTGATTGTATTAAGACGCTATTTATAAGACGTCTTAATATAAGCGTAAACATTATATAATTTATTAAAATAATTTAACTTTAACATAACAAAATTATTTTGTGGGCTAGAATCTCTTCCGTTCTTCTTCTTCCCTTCTTCCCTTTCGGCATTTCCCTTTTCTCACCGTGCAGCGAAGCAGGGTATTCAATTTTCAATGCAATTTTCGTTTTTCTCCGCAACCATAGGCTTCAATATTCCGTGGTCTACTCAATCTTCAAGGCAATTTTCGTTTTTCTCCACAACGACAGATTCAACTATTTCGTCAACGAATAAGGTTTTTTTTTTTAATTGTTAGGCAACAACAGATTCGTAGAGTAGTGGGTTAATCAAATTTTGATTATTGTTCTATGAAACGGATTATACTTCTGATCTATTTATTGATTGCAACTTGGTGGCAGCGAGGGTCAGCGGCGAGATAATACATCGCCATTTTTTACCTAGGGTTCCATGTAATGATTGTTCTCATGCGCGATTCATCTAAGCGGTTCTCAAGGTAGATTTTTTTTTTCGATTTAGTTGGTAAATTTGATTTCTAAATGATTTGCTGGCGAATATTTCACCTAATTGAAATTTATTTTTGGAGAAGGATAATTATATTCTATTTTATGAGAATACACAACAATTGGCTTATCGCATTTCTGTTTTTGCTGTCAAGAAATAGTTTTTATTTTGTTAATTATTAGTCTGTTTCATTTTAATAGCTGGAAACAGGATGGCTATTGAAAGAAATTGGTTTATGGGATTATGATTTTTGTCACACATGGAAATCAAGAGATTCTTGACTGGTTTTTATTTATACTGTCTTTTGTGTTATTTGATATTTATTTTAGTAATGGTTGGAGTATTAGGGTGTGTTCAGCCTGGGTAACCAATGTTATATAAGTATTTTTTTTTATAGATTTTTCAACTATTTGATAGCTATTTAGTAATTGTTAGAGAATTCGGGGATTAACACATATCTTGTAGGTCCCAAATGCCCTGGTCACTTTTATCACTCATATGTTCTATATATTTCTAAAATATTTGTAGTGTGCAGTCCCTAGTGTATGGAGTGGTGAAGGAGTGGAAGCAACACTTGATCTGCCTTACTTTCCAGTGGCTATCCTCCATTGCTCTTCATTGAGTAGAACTCTGGTATCTTTCTACAATCTTGTTACTCTTGTTGGACTAGTATGGTTTTTTGTATTTAATTTTTTTCTTCTTGTCATGATTTCAATAATAAGTACATAGTATGATGGTGAACTGTATACTTATTTAAGTCATATGATGGGATAAGAGGTGAAGGCTTAGCTGGTTAAGCATCCATTTAACAAATATTCTAAATTAAAATGTTAGAAATCATATTAGTAGCTAAACTTTGAGTGATTACTTATTTGCATTCTACTGTGAAACATTTATCCTTTTGATTTGTCAATGATAAAGACAATTGTTCTCGGTTCAAGAGATGATTGGTTGTGAAGGTTAATTATTTGCTTAAGAAGTTCACTTGCATTTAGGATAATCCTAATTCCTTGTTTACAGTATCAATTTTTATCTCATCTTATACTTGACTACACGAGTATAATTTTTCCCTATTAAACCCACTTAATCAATTGCATATTATTCATTTTTTTATATTATTAGTGTTGATTTCATAATTGATACTGTTAATGTTGTATTTCCTCACAAAACTAACTTTTTTATTACTCAAACATGATTGATGAGCAGGTATTTCAGGTATTTCGATTTACTTGTAGGAGGTGGAGTATTTTGACAAGTTGCAGTAGATGGTTCCAAGTCTTAGGAGATACGATGAATTGATTGATAGTGTTTCTGTAAAATAGAAGATTTTTTTACTGAATTACGCCTCATATGTAATTTGTTGTATCACATGAATGATTGTGAGATTATAACACTAAATGAAATTTAAAGAGTTCAATTGCACTATTTTTGGTTTGTTGTAATATTATTATACTTTTAATACTTGTGTCTTTCAAATTAATATAAATCAAGATAAAAAAAAATAACAGCAGATGGTTAATATAAAAGAGAGGAAAACGTGACAACAAACAGCGTCACAAGAAATACATTCTAGAGACGAGCGGAAGCGTCCTGAGAGCAAAGCTATTGGGACGCTTCTTTCCCGTCACAATAACCTATTACCACGGCCACCTATGTGACGCTTTGGTTAGGCGTCGCAATAGATAAAGCGTCACAATAGAAGCTTGTTGTGACGATTTTCGGCGTCCTAATAACCCATTATTTTAGTAGTGGTTATATTAAAAGTACAAGGGAGCTATGTGTCTATATTAAAATATAGGAGAGTCATATGTTATATTAAAAGTACAAGGGGATCAATCATCTGCACAAAGTTCAAGCCACAGGGAATGTAAGTGCAATTTACCTTAATTTTTAAGCGTTCGTCCGTATAAGTGAAATGCGTCAAGTTTATTTGTCGCGCCATAAAATTAAAAATTCATGCAAAATAAAACAAAAAAAATACTATATTTGCAAAGTTATAGATTGCATGTATAATTGAAACAAGTTAAATGACTAAATCTCTAAAGAGGCCAACATAGAGGACTAAAATACAATTTTCCAAAATATTTATTTATACCAATGTCAAACGTGATAAAAAGAAAAAAAAAAGAATATTATAGTAAACTTTATTTGTAAAGCTGGTAAGTGAATAGCTATAATATGTCTACGAGGGAGAAAGAGATGGCTTGTCGTGGATCCCAAGCATGAAAGTTTCTGAAAGAAGAAGAAAAAGTCGAACACGAAGAAGCGTAAGTTAAACAAAAAGCAAAATTAGGGTTTCAAAATGGGAAACAAAGAAGAGCAGGTTAGTGAAAAATAAATGGGTAAATTCAATTTACACCCCTAAAGTATACCCTCTGTAACACTTACGCTCTAAAGTATCGTTTGTAACACTGTACTTACCCCTAAGCTCAATTTAATTTGTATTTAAATCCTAATACCTTTAAATTTTCTATTTTTTTTTTAATTTAAAAGAATAATTAAATTATACAACTAAAATATATGTTGAAAACTATAATATTTTATAAGTTAAAAATATTATCTTGTGTTAAGTACATTTAATAAATAACATCGAACTGTTATTTGAACCAATTAATCGAATATCCTCATATCGATAAATTTTAAGAAATCAATACATAACTAATAGTAATCTTAAGTATTTAAGTTTATTTTAGTTCATTAATTTCTTAAAATATATTTTCATTTTATTATTATACAATATATTTTTTTTTTCAAATAATTTAATTTTACTTACTTTTCATTTTTTTATAATCCAATAATTACTCGATTGTTATGTTTATGATGTTTTAATTTTATAATATAAAATAATTGATGTTGAGGGGTAAGTGTTACAAATGATACTTTAAGGAGGGGTACCGTGTTATATAAGCTATACTTCAGGGGTGTAAAGTGTATTTAACCCAAAATATAATAAAAACGGCATTAGGGTTTCGAAATTGTTTTTTTTTTTTTTCGCTCTAACCCACGATCGAGCCCCGTGGCCATTACCTCGCAACGGCCTTTCCAGATCGATTGAAGAGATACGAGAGAGAGAGAGAGAGAGCGAGCGAGAGAGAGAGAGAGAGAGAGAGAGAGAGAGAGAGAGAGAGAGAGAGAGAGATGAATTGTTGTGGATCTGTACTGGGCGACGCCATGAAAGTTGGAAAATTGGAGGAGAAGGAAGCAGAGAAGGAGGAGTAGGAGAAACCGAAGACCATATGTTGTAAGGGCCAACTACAAAGCGGAAAGAGAGTTTCGAGGAATATATCAATCGACGACGACGACGTTTACATTAAGAACCCTAAACAACGCAAAATTAACGACAACGACGACGACGACGAGAATTTTGAGGAGGAGAAGAAGAGAAGAAGATGAAGAGAAGAAGAAGAAGAAGAAGAAGAAGAAGAAGAAGAAGAAGAAGAAGAAGAAGAAGAAGAAGAAGAAGAGGAAGAGGAGGAGAAGAGAAATGTGCCGAAGGGGTTTTTTTCGGATGACGAAATTGAAGAAATTGATGAGGATCAAATTGAGGACGACGATCATACCATACTTACGAACGACGAGGAGGTTATTATTGTGTTTTTTTTTTAATAATAAATTTCTTGATCGAACGGCCTAATTTTGTTTCTTATTTTTCTCTGATGATTAATTTACTACATATTGAATTCAATTTGTAGGAGGGTTGGGGTGTCGTAAACAGGTATGTAGATGATTCCCCGAGCTCTGCAATCGGATCTGAAGGCAAACTCGAAACTTATGCCAACCTAGCTATTGATGTCTACAACCTAGTCAAGGTAGGATGATGAATCTTTAATTCTACTTATTTTATGATAAATCTTTCAAACAAAAAAAAAAAAAATCTTTTTGTTTGTTTGTGCGTGTGTTTGTGCAGTCGAAGGAACACCGTTTGGTGAAGGTGGTGAGCTCAACTCGATATTTTTGCCAGGGTTACTTATATAGTATAACCTTTGAAGCCAAACTTCCTGGCCAAGATGATTCGGATGCACTCACTTTAGTTACTGAGGTTTACGAAGATTTCTCCGGTGAACGTCAAGTAGACTTTGTTTGCAAGCCCGATGAACGTCCACCTTACGATCCCTAAACCCGATAATCTAGGTATTTCGTTTTCCAATTCTGGTAGAGAAAATTATTATGTATTTATTTGTTGAATTCATGGGTTAGATTCGCAAACGCAGTCGCTCGTAGCCAATTTAAAATTTAATTTTTTTCATGGTTTATTGAGCATTCCGCGCTATGTTAATTAATTGCAATTTAGTCTCTGAGGTAGATGGGCCTTCTTTCGGTTTGCTTTTGCAGAATTTAGTACACTCGCAAAGGCTGCATTTGGATGCAAGGGTTTGCATTTGAGGGATTTTCGAACGACTTTTAATGAGATGTATTTGAAATGTTGGTGATTCGAAATCCACATTTGCAGAATATAGACGGTGCTCAACTCTTCTTACGACGTGGAATAATTAAACGAATATGATCCCGATGAAGAATTGAGTTGGCCGGGTTGATACTTAAGAGTTTCTTTCACATTTGATTGATCGTAATGGTAGGGTTAAGAAGTACTTGTATGTCAATTAGTTCATTAATTCCTCGTATATTACATTTAATTTTTCGCTTGCTCATTCATTTTAATTTCTAAATAATTTCGCGTAAAATTTATAAATTATTAAAGAAAATAACTTTTTAAAATTAAGACGGGTTTCGACCCGTGAAGGTTGGGTTCTACTTTAAATCCGCAATAAACCCGTTTAGCCTAAACTCGTCGAAAACCCACAAATTTGGTTCTTAAAATCAAGAACTGTTGATTTTGCTAGAACCCATAATAGTAATTATACATTTATATTATTTTTTTAGTTACTATCTTCATCTATAAGTTTTCAATATGATATATTATTATATATGAGTTCGAGTATTGTGCAATATTGACATTGTGGGAACTAACACTCTTAATTATATTATATATATAATTAGATTTTTGTAATTCCATTTTTTAGGACCCGTGCACACCCTATACTATCGTGTAAATTAATGCTACCATGAAATTAATTATAGAGTAAATAAAAAAATGTAAAAAAAAATAATGTCACTGTTAATCTTTTTTTTTAATGTTAATGTGATGTTTAATATTAGTGTGGAAACAATGTTAGAGTTAAAGAATGTGAAGAAAAAAAATAATGTTACTATTAAAATTAATGTTATTGTGAAATTTTTTTAAAAGAAAAGATTAATGCTACTATAAATATTAAGTTGCGGATATATGCAAGCCCATTTTTTTATTAGTTCAAGACCTCCAACATAAAAATACTAATTTACCCTTAATGAAATTCAAAACCAAATAAAAAACATAAATCATAAAACGGCGTTACAACGCCAATTTTGACTTGTAAAGTCGCCGTTGTGTCGCCGATTTGGTTAACAAAAATCGGCATTGTGACGCCGATTTTCGTGTACAAAATCGGTCTAAATAAACCGATTTGGGAAAACGGTTTAACACACAAAAAAATCATTTTCAATCTCATTTTTTTTTTCAAAATCGGCTAAAGCATTGCAACCCAACAAGAAGTAAGCATAGATTAATATTCATCCACGTATATTTATCAAGAATCGATGCTCGATTAATGTTTTTGAATTGACAAACAAAAGTTTAGTAAAATGGACTTGTTGGTGGTGGTGGGGTGGTGGTGGTGATGGTGCGGTGGAGGTGGTGCGGTGAGTGGGTCGCTGGTCGTCGCCGGCGCGGTGGAGGTCTCGCTGGTCGATGTCTCGGCGGTCTGGTGGCGGCAATTGTGAGTTTTTTCTATTTCTTTTTCTATTTTTTTTCTTTTTTTTTTTAGCTTTTTTATTTTATAATTTTTTGTCTTGAACAAATTAAAATTAGAGTTTGTTTGTATTTGGGTATTATTTATTGATAAGGGTATATTCTTCTTGTTTGGTCTTGATGTAATAAAATTAAATTAATTTACATGCTTGAACTAATAAACTCATTTATGTGGATTTAAACTAATAAAAAAATGAGCTTGCATATATCCGCCGCCTAAAAATTAATGTTACCATAAAAATAATGTTACAATAAACCAAAACACAAATGGTAAAAAAGAAAAAAAATCAATAACGTTATTGTGAAAATTAAAATTATTGTGACGAGTATACTGTGTTGAGAGGTTATAATACATATAAATGTTGGGGCTCTTTGAGAAAACTCCCTCGTTATTTTTTTTAATGGAGAGAGGCCCAAAATATTTCTCTCCATTTGAGAAAAGCCCACACCCATTTTCAGCCATTATATATTCCAGCTTTACCCCCACCCGCCGCATCATCACTGTGTCACGCGCTCAGCGTTTTTTTTTTTTCCCCGTTTTTTTTCTCTGTATTTTCTGTATCAGTTTCCTTCATCGACTATGGAGCATAGTCGATAAGCCTTAATCGACTATGCTTCATAGTCGATTAAGAAAATTCTTTAATTTTTTTTTTCTATATCAGGTATATTAATCGAATATGATGAAGCATAGTCGATTAAGAATCTTCTACTAAACATAATAAATAACAATTGCAAAAAAAATGCAAAATAAACTATATTTTACAAAATACAAAAAATATACAAACATTATAATTGATTTATACAATTGGAATCAATAAACAAAAAATCCAAAAATAAATATTGGAGCCGATCAACCTTAATCGACTACCAGAGCATAGTCGATTAGCTTAATCGACTATTGAATATGTACATAGTCGATTAAGGTTCCAACTTGCGCGAATTTCTCTACACGCGCCGTCCTCCGCCCAATCCACCAAAAAACCCTAGATCTGCCTCCCCATCGCACCACAACGTCGCCACACCACACATCTGTATCCCACGCCGTCGCAAAAGATTATTATTTACCAATAAAATAGACAAAAATCATAGTTGATCTATAATTTCTTTAATGCAATGGAAGACAAGGTCAAGGCAGCAGGTAACACTAGCTGGTTTCGAACCAGACAAAAGCAATTGAGGCTGGAATTGGTCGGAGTGATGGATGGTTGTTTGCCCTTGGGAAACATGCCACAAATATTTCAAATGGGAAGGCTCCTTCTCGTTCAATCCAGAACGAGAAAAGGGTTGTGTCCAATTCTGATGGCTGCACCGCGCGGTTCTTCACCCAATATGTCGGCCAATTCGTCGGAGCATTATTTAACGATGCCGGTCGAATTCTGATCTAGCAGAGAATAAGGAGATCGAGAAGAAAAAAAAAGAAAAAAAAAAGAAGAGAGAGAGAGAAGAAAGAACGAGAGACGAGAGAAGAGAGAATAGAGCAGAAGAGAAAAAAAAAAGAGAAAGAGAGAGAAGAAAGAACGAGATGAGAGAAGAGAGAAGAGAGAATAAAGCAGAGAGAAGAGAAGCGGCGTAAGATAACATGTTAAAATTTAGGGTTAGGAGTAGGGGTATAATTAAGATATTACATTTATTAATTATCTAAGCTAATAATAAAAGGGGTTTTCTCTAATTATTTTTGGGAGGAGGGTTTTCCTTAACTACATTTACTAGATGAGGGGGTTATTGCTAATATTCCCATAAATGTTATAGATACATGCTTTTTCGGTATTTCTACCCTCAAAATATCTTATTTCACCACCAAAATTAAATATATTTCCTATTTTACCCATGTTTCCTCTTTCACCTATATTGTACAAAATCATAAATTGTCCACCACTAAACTAATTAGAATATTTACACAAAATCCACCATTTTCCCCTAGAATCTTAACTATAAAATCCCACCATTTCCACCTTAAGTGAACGACACCTTCGTTGGAGAAAACACCCGAAATGAGAGGGAATTCATGTTCTTGGAGAAATAACTAAGAGCGTTTATATAGAAATAAATTTAAAAAAAAAATAGAGATTTTTTATATTGTTATTTTCGGTGGAATAAAATTTAAAACATGGGTTACATTTTATTCAACACAATTTGTTTTTACCCTTTTAGCTTTCATTGCAAAAATAAAAAGAAATAACTTAGAACATGTGAAGATTAAGTGAATATAATGGAAAATGGTGACAAATTTAAAGGACATTTATGATATTTTATACAAAGTTGGTGATGAATTGAGATAATTTAAAGGTGAAAATAACGGTACTCATATTAATACTTGATATTTAACACAAAAGCTCACATGGTCTAGTGGTAGCATAATTTGTTTTTTTAGTAGTAGTGAGACTGGTTTTTTTTTTAAGAATATATGATTCATTATGATTTTTTGTTTTGATTTTTTTTTTTTTTTTTTGTACGCTTGAAATTATTTTGGAGGTAGAAAAAAAAAATTAATTTGTTAGTTTGCACCCTATAAATAAATAAATAAAAAACTAATAGAAAATAAAATTACCCACATTAAATTTGAAATATTCAATTCATGATGTAGTGTGAATGATTTATTGTGTTTCCAATGTATTCTTATCAACACCGAATTTAATTTGAATGTCGGTTTGTTATAAATTGATGTGATGTAAAAACAAAGTTGACAATCAAAATTTTCAATTTCATCGGTGCAAAAACATCTTCGCATTGGGGTTTTGAAAAATCACAAGGATTCATTTTCAGATGTTCACGTAAGTTAGATGTCGAATTTATAATTTTTAGGATAAATAGCACTTATCCCCCCCTGTGGTTTGAGCTTTGAGCACATGGCCCCCTTGTACATTCAATATAAGCACGTGATCCCTCTATAGTTTGAATTTTGTGCATAAGATCCCCTTGTACATAGTTTTCATATAAACAAGTAAGCCCCTTATGGTATTCACTTGGTAAATAACCATGCTCATTATGAAGAAAACGTTTTTGAAAGTTTAATGGGTTCATGTGTCTATATTAAAATACAAGGGGATAATGTGCTATATTGAAAGTATAAGGGATTATTTGCATAAAGTGCATGCCACAGGGGATGTAAATGCTATTTACACTAATTTTTAAGCGTTCATATGAGTAAGATGCGTCAAGTAATATTTCTCACGTCATAAAATTAAAGATTCATGCAAAAGAGGACTAAAAATACTATATTTGTAAAATTATTGCATGTAAAACTGAAACAAGTTAAAGGGTTAAATACCTAAAGATGCCAACATAGAGGACCAAAATACAATTTTCCCAAGTATTTATTTATACCAATGTCAAACGTGGTATAAAAAAACACTATATGTCTACGAGAACGCAAGTTAGTGAAAAGCAAACTTAGGGTTCAAAATCAGAAGAAGCGCAAGTTAGCAAAAAAAAAAACGCGGCATTAGGGTTTCAAAATCGGAGACGAAGAAGCGCAAGGATCAAGAGAAGTGATAATTGTTTATCCTCTTTCGCCCAACTCTTCCCTAATTTTAATTTCTTCCTTAAATTGTTTTTTTTTTCTCTAACCCTTTTTCTTCTATTTTCAAAAGAGGGAAAAAAAAAACGATTAGAGCTTTCCGGATCGATTGGTGATATATAGAGAGAGAGGAATGGATTGTGTGTGGATCTGTGGGCGACGCCATGAAAGTTGGAAAATTGAAAGAGAAGGAAACAGAGGAGCTTGAGAAACCGAGAGAGACTGACGCCGACGCCAAGAAAGGTGAAAATTTTGAGGTGGAGGAGAAACCGAAACAAAACGGAAAGAGAGTTTCGAGGAATATATCGATCGACGACGACGTTTACATTAAGAACCCTAAACAACGCAAAATTAACGATGACGAGGAGGAAATTGTGTTGGAGGGGTTATTTGACGACGATGAGGATCGGAAAATTGAGGAGGACGATGATGAGGAAATTAAGAAAAAAATTCTGAAACAGTTATTTTCGAAAAACGAAGTTCAGGATATTGATGAGAATGACATTGCTTATTATGATCTCGATGAAGACCTAATTAATATGGATGACGAAGATGTTCGTCTCTCTCGCTTTCTTTTTCCTTTTTTTTAAATAAATTTCTTCAAACCCTAATTTATTATTTCTTATTCTGCTCTGTTAATTAATTAATTTTACTATCTACAATTCAATTTGCAGGACGGTTGTGGTATCGTGAACAACTATGTCCGAGGTTCCCCGAGCTCTACAGTCGGAATTCCGCGCGGAGAAGATCTCAAATCAAAACTCGAATCTTATGCCAACCTAGCTATTCATGCCTACAATGAAGTCAAAGTATGCTTGTTTTTCTGCCCTTGAACAATTTTTTTTTTCTTTTCTTTTTCTTTTACTTATTTTATGATAAATCTTTTGTGTGTGTGTGTGTGTGTGTGTGTGCAGTCGAAAGAATACCGTTTTGTGGACGTGGTTAGCTCAACCGGATACTTTTGCCAGGGTGTCTTATACAGTATGACCTTTGAAGCCAAACTTGCTGGCCAAGATGATTCGGATGCCCTCACTTTAGTTGCTGAGGTTTACGAAGGTTTGTTCGGCGAACGTGAAGTATGCCTTGTTTGCAAGCCCGAGGAACGTCCGCCTTATTATCCCCAAAACCGCTAATGTAGGTATTTCATCTTTGTAATTTTGATAGAGGGTATAAGTTCATGGGTTAGATTCGAAAAAGCAGTGGCTCATAGTCAATTTGAGGGATTTCGAATGCCTTTTAATGAGATGTATTTAAATTCTGGTGATTTTAAATCCACATTTGCAGAATATAGACGGTGCTGAAATCTTCTTACGACGTGGAATAATTAAACGAAGATGATCCCGAATGAAGAATTGAGTTGGCCGGGTTGATACTTAAGAGTTTCTTTCACATGTGATTGATCATAATGGTAGGGTTAAGTACTTGTATGTCAATTAGTTCATTAATTCCTCGTATTTTGACATTAGGTGGGTTAACGAATGTACTAATTTGTTTCCGGCAAATATGACCAACCATGTTATGGTCTGGTCTCATTTGATACGTTGACGAGGATCGTGTGGGATTCAATTTTCATTATTCACCGAAGAAAAAGTAGGGCGAAATGCACTTCACCCACTAAAAAATATTAAGTTTTTGCACTAAACCCTCTACAAACATAAAAACGAAAACTGCCCTTGAAAATACAAAATGCATTGGATATCTTCCCCAATTGTTATTTTTTTTGGTAGAATAATGCGTTTTAGAAGGGTAGTTTTGTCATTCCGCTTTAATATATCCCAACCCTAATTTAGTGCACAAACTTAATTTTCTACGAGGTTTAGGTGCTATTTGATGGTCACATTAGTAGAAAATTTGCTTTACTACGAATTTTTTTGCTACGGTCAAAAGTCGTAACAAAAGGGGTATTTTACTACGCGACAACTTTGAAGTCGTAGTAAATATTAGGATTTATCGTAGCAAAAAAAAGTATTTGGTACGACCATTACTACGCTTGTAGGGCTGAAAATCAAGTTAATCTAACTATGTACTTAATTCTAGGGTGCATTTGGATGGAGGGATTTGGGGGAGGGATTTCAAATCCATAATAACAAATCCCTCAAACTTGTTTGGATTGAGGGATTTGGAGATGGGTTTCAAATCCCCACCCCTCCTTTTTAGTTGATTTTGGAGCAATAGTGATGGATTTCAAATGACTCCAAAATTGGAGTCATTTCAAATTCATTCCCCAAATCAAATCCCTCCCCAAATCCCTCCATCCAAATGGACCCCTAGATCTTTTGTTATTTTAAAGTATATTTGAACTCGGTTTGTTAACATAACAGATCAATCATGAACAAGTCATTACTTCATGTTTGAGTTGATTAAATCTCGACTCAATTACATATCAAACTAAACTCTAAAACAACTTTAAGAGCTTGATAAAATTCAAACAAGTTGTAACAACAATATGCGTTGGCTCTCTACTCTATGAATTTCTTAGTTTTGACATGTGTTTAATTCTTACTTATTAAAAAAAATGGGGCTATTTGAGGAAATCTCCTCATTACTTTTTTTAATGGAGAGAGGTCCAAATTATTTCAGTCCATTTGAGAAAAGCCAACACTCATTTTGAGCCATTATGTTTTCTAGCTTTGCCCCCGTCCGCCACATCATCACAACTGGGTCACACTTTGAGCCATTATGTTTTCTAGCTTTGCCCCCGTCCGCCACATCATCACAACTGGGTCACACGCTCAGTGATTTTTTTTTTTTTGTTTTTTTTCCCGTCTTTTCTGTATCAGTTTCCTTAATCGACTATGAAGCATAGTCGATTAGCCTTAATCGACTATGCTTCATAGTCGATTAAGGAAATTATTTATTTTTTTTAATTTTTTTTTTGTTTTTTTTTAATATCAGGTATATTAATCGACTATGATGTGAAGCATAGTCGATAAAGAATTTGCTACTAAAAATAACAAATCACAACTGCGAAAAAAATACAAAATCAACTATATATTACAAAAACAAAAAATATACAAATATTATTAATGATTTATACAATTGGAATCAATAAACAAAAAGTTCAAAAAAATAAAAAAATTGGAGTCGATCAACCTTAATTGACTGCCAGAGCATAGTCGATTAGCTTAATCGACTACCCAAACACATAGTCGATTAACCTCGAAATCTGCCCCATACCAGAAAATTTCCGCCACGGTTCGTCGATTTTTTTTTCCTCGATCTCCGCACTAGATCCACCGTCTAGAAATTAACTTAACAAGAAGCAAGAAAAAAATTATGTTCATTAATGTCTTCTTTGTTCACACAATTCAAGAAAGACGAAATGTACACAAATTTGATCCGAAAACCGAAAGTATGCGTATTCGATTTGAACGCATTACTTCACCCACAAAAAAAAAGAATATAAATCATAAATCCCAACTTAATTGAAACTTTTGTAGTGAGAAAATCTCCATCTATCTATTAATATTGATGACAAGGATTTATAGTTGTGGAAGAAACCTCTATAAAACCATAAGCACGAAGATAAACAAAAATCCGAAGCATAAGCACCATGCTATTAGCAATTAATATCAAAATTCCACCGCCACCGCAAACTCACTAACAAATCAACCAACAATTCCCAGAAACTCAAAAATTTATTTAGAAACATCCATGGCTGAAGTCTAATTATTTTTAAGACAGAATTGAGAGAGGAAATTACTCGAGGTTCATTTTCCAACAAAGAGCCGCTAGTGAACGATGGTGGAGAAATTGGCAGAGAGATTGGAGTAAAGGCCGGCGACCGATTGGACCGCCGATTTCGCTGTTGAAGCTGGGATTGACGGCAGTCCCACATCTCGTTTTCCCGTCAACAACGTCGTTTTACCCACTGCAATCGTCGTCTTCGGTCGTGGCGGTGGAGACTCCTGCATTTCTCCATCTTCCGGCGGCGGCGGTGGGGAGGAGATTTGCCGGAGACAAACAAAGAAAAAAGAAAGAACGACAAAAAAACAAAGAAGATAGAAGATATAGGCGAGAATGGAGAATGGTGAGATTAGGGTTTTGAAAGAGTATATTGAACAATTAAGGGTAGTTTTGGAATTACTAAAATAATATTTGGGTGGGATATTAGTTAATGGGGTTTTCTCTAATTATTTTGGGAAGAAGGTGCTTCCTTAACTCATTTTCCTAAATGAGAGGATTCTTGTTAATTATCCCTAAAAAATATCCCATAGATCACGCATTTCTAATTAGGGGTAATCACAAAAAAACCCATGATAAGGGCACTTAATTAAAATAGGGACATCCAACTTTTTTGTCTTCCAAATAAATCCACCCCATTCAAACTTATTTGCAAATAAGGAAAATCCTTTTATATAAACCAAAATTACCCCTAATTCATTGAAACCCAATTCAACTCCAATTTCATGATTTACACCCCAATTTAGCCCAATTTCATCAATTAACCAATTTTAACCATAATTCCAATTTTGACCCCAATTTTAACCCTAATTCTTATCAGTTCCACCGATTATGCTCTAACTTCCTTAATATTACACATTGACCCCGGATTTTAACAAATATATCACATTAACCCCCAAAACTTTTTTTTTTCTAAAAATAATTTTTTTTCCGGCCAGATTCCGGCGTTGACCGCCGGAGACCGCCGGTCTCCGGCGTTGACTTTTTTTTTTTTTTATTGAATTTTGTTTTCCTGAAAAAATTTTCCGACCGGTCAACGGCCGTTGACCGCCGGGTCTCCGGCGTTGACTTTTTTTTTTTTTTTTTCTTAAAAAAATATTTAAATTAATTTTACTGTCTTGGCTGCTAAATTACTGTCTCCGGCAGCTATTTAACTGTCGGAGACAGTAATTTAACTGTTAATTGACTGGTTTTTTTTTTTTTTTTCTTCAAAAATATTTTAATTAATATTACTGTATTCGTTGCTAAATTACTGTCTCCAGCAGTTATTTAACTGTCGGAGACAGTAATTTAACTGTTAATTGACTTTTTTATTCTTAAAAAAAATATTTTTAATTAATATTACTGTATTCGTTGCTAAATTACTGTCTCCAGCAGTTATTTAACTGTCGGAGACAGTAATTTAACTGTTAATTGACTTTTTTATTCTTAAAAAAAATATTTTTAATTAATATTACTGTATTCGTTGCTAAATTACTGTCTCCAGCAGTTATTTAACTGTCGGAGACAGTAATTGAACTGTTAATTGACTTTTTTTTTAATTTTTTTTTATTTTTTTCCTTAAAAAAAAATTATTTTAAGTAATATTACTGTCTTGGATGTTAAATTACTGTCTCCAACAGTAATTTAACTGTCTTAGACAATAATATTAATAATATTACTGTTCGGAAAAATAATATTCATAATATTACTGTCCCAAACAGTAATATTACTATCTGAGACAGTAATTTAGTAGTCAAAACAGTAATATTAATTAAAATATTTTTTTTCTAAGAAAAAACAATTCAAAAAAAAAAAAAAAGTCAACGCCGGAATCTGGCCGGAAAAAAAAACATTTCAGAAAAAAAAAATTATTTTCTGAAAAAAAAAAGTTTTGGGGGTTAATGTGATATATTTATTTAAATCCGGGGTCAATGTGTAATATTAAGGAAGTTAGATCATATTGGGTGGAATTGATAAGAATTATATTATCGAGGGTATTTTAGACTAAAAACATGGGGATGGGCTTAATTGAGAGACTGTTTTTTTTGTGGACTAAAATGCATTTAAGTCCCATGTGATGGGCCTTTTTGCCATTTGCCCTTCTAATTAATACAAACCCATGTCGTGTGAAGAGACAAAATCAACTTTGATGAGAAAATGATGGCTACTTTTTTTTTCTTGAGTAAATTCAAATCTTGTTACAATGGGAAAGTAGGGGAGGAGAAGGATTCGAACTCTAGACCTATACTTTAATAATAGAGAGTAGGGGTTGTCTAGGGTTCGAGAGGGTTGTACTTCTCGGACAGTAACATATTTAATCTAGTGCGTCCAAAATAATTAAATTTTAATCTGATCCATTGATTTATTTGTACGACCTAGAACGACTCAGTACGATACTAGAGATTTGAAAATTAAAGTACGAACCCAATAAAAACACATCGTACCCTATCGTACACACATTGTACTTTATATAAATTACTTAATTAACCTTATAAACTAAATTAATAAATTAATATTCATCACAAAACCAAAATCTCTTCAGATTGAAATATTTTTTTGC